AATTCAGAAACTGGAAGAACAGTTAAAACTTTCAGCAAAATCACAGACTTCAGGAGAGCCCAGAGAGTACAGGGTGAGTAAAATCACACTTACTGGCTGAAGGAGTTTACTACAATTAAATACCAAAACCTGTATTGTCTTGGGGGACTGGCTCTTGAGACTTCTTTTTTTTTTTTTTTCTCTGTTGTCACCCAGAGAGCAGATTTTCCCCCAGCTGACTGGACTACATTTAGGCAGTGAGAGTGTACTTGCATTATTTCTTATGGAGATGTAAAGAAGTGTTGTACGTGCATTACAGTAAAGTTTCACAGCCTGAGTCTAGTTTGAATTAACTGAGGAGGACAACAATACAGACACTCTGCTCTGTAGAGCAGACCTGAGGGATGACTTCTGGGTTCTAAATGTGTTTAGTTTCTCCAGCTATAACAGTTGTAATAAGATGTTCTTTGTCTGCATACCTTGTCCTATTTAAGTTTATAAATCAGTCCTTTTTTTCACATGTTTATTTGTTTGATGCTTGGTTTCAAAGATTAACTTTTGCTTTTTGTTTTGTTTTGTTTTTTTTTTTCCCCACATAAATGAACATTATACAGAACTATGAATTGATTATACAGGTATGGAAAACAGCATGAACATCTCTAACTTTTCATTCCTTTTCCTTTCAATCCCTTCTATTAATTAGATCTGCTCTGGCTTTTTTCCTGTTCTTGATAATGTCAAGGCTTGGAGATAAGGGTACATGTTTTAGGGTGGCAGAATTCTTGCAGGGAGTGAGGAACTGCTTTCAGTTTAATTTCCTGTACATAAGTGCTTCATTCTCCTGGCTTATTGCTCAGATGTATTACAGGCAGTTACTTACTGTAAAAGAGCTTTTTGGCGTGAAAGGAGAAGTTGAGATTTGGAGTATGAAACAAAGGTAATGGAATTACGATGATACACTGTGTCTTAGCCTTCAGCTTTTGTTTGTGGCCCTGCTCTTAATAAAACTTAAATGTGTATAATACTAAATTTCATTTCCATCTATTTGTTTATTTACAGTTTATGAAATTGTGTACCTCGGTGTTAGAGAAGCAAATCTTGTAGGAACAACAGAATCTTTGATAGAGTGAATTTTCCATGCTGGAGCACACCTGATTGTCGTCTGCCTTCTGTAGCCTCTGATAGGACTTTGTTAGGCTTCTTCAGAAGTGGAGTGATTACATATCATTCTGCATCAGTCTTGGCTTCTCATTTGCATGAATGCCATTATCTGTCATTAAGATTTTCCGAGTACATCACACACGTAGCCTATGTGTTATTTACACTGTGGCAAAGATCAGAAAAAGAATGGCAAAGATTTTTGTTTTGAAGGCCGCATGACTTGTTGAAGATCTGTTTGTACCCAGAAGGCATACCTCTGTAGCAATCTTGGGCATACAGAATCATAAAGGATATGTGTCACGTTATTCAAAACATGTCAAACTATTAAGACCACAGCTTGTTTTCTATCCAAGATGTTAGGTGGATGACAGACAGTTAACTAGTGTGCTTGTGGCTTAGTAAAGAGGAGTATCTGAAAAAATTGAGACTAGCTGCTGTAACTTTGCAACCTCTCTCAGAAAGGATTAAAACTTAATATATACATAATTAAGGAAATGTGTATGTGCCTGTAAGCAGTTGAAAATGTAATGTTAATCACTTTTGGTATTCTTGACTAGTCTGTGATGCTCTCCATGCTTATTAATTTGAGTAAATTAACTCTATTCTTCTGTATTTTGCTAGAGGGTGTTTTTCTGCTTTAGTAATATCTGTACAATACTTTGAAGAGGTAAAGTTATATATTAATACAAAGGATTTTTATTTCATAATATTGAAGAGGAATTTGCGTAAATTCAGACACTTATTGATGAACAAAGCATTTATCTTGTAAAATATCATCTTCCTTGCTCATTGGTATTGACCAAATTATTTCTCCTTTAGAAGGTTTCCCATTGCTTTCCTATCTGATCTTGCTTTCAATGTGTTTAATGACTTAGTCACTTCTGACGTAGTCTGTCTGTCACACTTGGTTCTCTCCTGCATCTGTTACCCACTAAAGCTCCTAGCCTTGCCTTCACGTTCATTACTGGGATGAATGAGTGACCGTTTTCCTGCAGCTCTGTGCATGATTGGATCTCAGTGAGCTCAAATGCAAAATTATCGTCTTCATATTTAAGCGATTTTTGGAAAAAGAGTACCTGTTCTATGTTGACTATGTGAATCTCTCTGATTTGCAGACGTTGAGTATGTTACGTTGCATATTTATCTTTCAATTCTTAGTATCTTCCTTTAAACTGGAATTCCTTGAAGTACTGGAAGAGGGTTCTGAGGTTACAGAAATACATCTAATGCTATTAGTAATAATTCATGTAATCTTGGGGTTTCTTGATCTCAAACAAAAAAAAACAACAAAAAGACCCCACACACCACAAGGCCCTCTTTGATGACCGCTGGGCCTTGAGAGTATGCCTTCATCCAGCACTTTGTTAGAATACTGCAAACTTTGAGAGTAATCAAATGTGTATTTAAGAGCTGCTGCATTTGGAAAACAAGATTTCAGAAAGTTACTTTTTCATCCTTTCTGTCTGCATCTGGCTTTACTTTCATCTGGGATTTTAGCATAGTTTAGTCCATAGTAAAACTCCACCTTCTTACTCTTGCTTCCAGTTGGAACTTTGTTATATTGCCTGAATATCTGTATAATGTGATTTCTGTATAGGTAGAATCTTTGCAAGCAGAAATAAAAGAGAAGATGGATGATTACAATAAGCTGTTATTAGAAAAGGAGCAAAAACACCAAGAAATTACAGCTCGTGATAAAGAGATAGAAAAACTGGTGGCACAGATACGAGAACTGGAGCACAATGGTACTGAAGTCTCAAAGACTGTACACTACTTGGAACAACAACTGCAAAAAATGAAGAAAGTGGAAATCGAATTAAAAGAAGTAATTTTTAAATACTTATTTAAATGGGAGTGGCATTATGCAGACAGTGTCCTCAATGACTGTTAGTGTTGTTTGAGACTATCCCTAGTGTACCTAGTGGTGAGTTAAACTGTTGTATTAATGGCAGGTATCACAGCCACAGTTTTAAACAAACTCTGGTTTTACGAACTATAAGCCTACTTACTATAGAGACTGCTTTTTGACAGTTGTCATGTTTGCATGGATCAGAGCTGCTCTTTTGCTTCTCTGGAAGTTCCTGAGAAGATAGTGTTACTGAATATTAAACATCGATCGTGTGTCTTCAATAAATAACTGTGTTTAAAATCATATTATCCTAATTGATAGCTCTTCTTGCTATGTGCCTTTGCAGCCAGATCTGTTTTCCATACTCTGAAATTTTTAGTGCTTTGTAACTACTGCAGATTGAATCACAGCTTAGAGTTAAGAACTACATTCCATTTAGCAAAAGTATTTGTCTTTTACCAAACATCTGAGTAACCTTTTCTACCTTCTTAAACTAAATGTCTCAGTTTCCTCCCAGCAATATTCCTTGGTTAAGTATTGTTGGTGTGTCTGTCAAGTTTGAAGATTTGAGAATGGCATGATCTAAACTAAATTTATTAGTTTAATTGCTAATTCTGTAAATATTTGCTTCCATTATTTTTCATTTTAAAAATATTGAACAAAATATTTTTTGTTTTAGCTTCAGCTAACGTGATATAGACTAGCCAGTCTTAGTTTATTAGGTACTATTATTCCTATCTATTTGGCACTTGAGAGATTGCATCTGGAGAACTGCTTGGTTTTAGACTCTCATGTGCAAGAAAGACATCGGCGTGCTGGAGCAAGTCTAGCAAAGGACTATCAAGATGGTCAGGGAGCTGAAGCAAATGATTTTTGAGGGGAGGCTGAGAGAACAGGGTTTGTTTAGCTTTACGGAGATCTTATTGTTGCGTGCAACCACATAATATGAGGTTATAGAGAAGATGGAGACAGACTTGGAGGTACACGGTGAAAGGATGAGAAAGTATGAGCATAAACTGCAACAGGGGAAATTCCAATTAAATGGTAGGGGGAAATGGTCATATTGGGGGCAGCCAAATGCTGAAAAGGGGGCTCAGAGTGGCAGTGGTGTCTGTGACTTGGAGATGTTCAGAAGTCGGCTGGCCGAGGCCCTGAGCAGAGCCAAGTTGGTTCTGCTTTGAGTCAGAGGTTGGACCAGAAAGCTTTAGAGACCCTCCCTAGCTTAAGCTGTCAAGTTTGAAGATTTGAGAATGGCATGATCTAAACTAAATTTATTAGTTTAATTGCTAATTCTGTAAATATTTGCTTCCATTATTTTTCATTTTAAAAATATTGAACAAAATATTTTTTGTTTTAGCTTCAGCTAACGTGATATAGACTAGCCAGTCTTAGTTTATTAGGTACTATTATTCCTATCTATTTGGCACTTGAGAGATTGCATCTGGAGAACTGCTTGGTTTTAGACTCTCATGTGCAAGAAAGACATCGGCGTGCTGGAGCAAGTCTAGCAAAGGACTATCAAGATGGTCAGGGAGCTGAAGCAAATGATTTTTGAGGGGAGGCTGAGAGAACAGGGTTTGTTTAGCTTTACGGAGATCTTATTGTTGCGTGCAACCACATAATATGAGGTTATAGAGAAGATGGAGACAGACTTGGAGGTACACGGTGAAAGGATGAGAAAGTATGAGCATAAACTGCAACAGGGGAAATTCCAATTAAATGGTAGGGGGAAATGGTCATATTGGGGGCAGCCAAATGCTGAAAAGGGGGCTCAGAGTGGCAGTGGTGTCTGTGACTTGGAGATGTTCAGAAGTCGGCTGGCCGAGGCCCTGAGCAGAGCCAAGTTGGTTCTGCTTTGAGTCAGAGGTTGGACCAGAAAGCTTTAGAGACCCTCCCTAGCTTAAGCTGTTCTGTAATTTTTATCCAAACATACAAAAGCCATGCCCATTAGCTTTCTGTCTGGCTTGCCTTGGAGTGGATGGAGACTGTGACAAGTTGCTCTTGTCTCGGAAATCTTAGCTTTCTGTTAAACCGGCTTTCTTTATCCATGTGAATTCAAAATATTCTTTTAGCTGTCTGAATGTCCCAGGAAATTGGTCTTTCCTAAAAATCCTAAATAAGCCAAATTCAGACTCTTGTTTTTTTCCTTTTTTCCAAGAAACTAATTCATCAGCTTTAAACAAGGTTATACTATTCAATTTGCCAACTGTATAGGCATTGTAATAGTTTGTCTTGAAGTAATTTTGTGCAATAAATAAGTGCCAACAGAGCTCTAAGCATGATTGCATGTCATGAAATTTTTCTGTAAAAATACACTTGATGTGAATGGCAATTACAGATTTTTATTGTCCCCCAAATTCCAACATATGAAAAACGTAGGTATTGCAGATAATGGAGACTAACACTAATAAGAAATGGGTCTGGAAAGAGTAATTTTGAATATGGAATGGTATCTTTTGTGAAGAATACTGACTAACCTCACAGAAAGCAGATCCATTTATCCTGCCGTCATGTGCATGGAGCAGGTCTTTGTTTTTTCCTGGTCCAATTCCTTTCAGTTGTTCAGGTTGTTGATATGTAACATTGACATTTCTGGTTAGGGTTGTGCTGGAAGGATTGCTCATTCTTTGGCCTGAGGTCTTGAAAATGGGGCTCATTCAGGGAGTCTGCTATCCTATGGATTTTGGTATCAGTGAAAGAAAAGATACCATGTTAGACTATATCTGCGTGGGCATCCAGAAGAAGGTTTTACAGTGAAGGTGCATTACATAAAGCTCTGATTTTTGCCTGGGTTGCCACTTGTTTTTGCTGGGTCACTGTAGCAACCTCAGAACATAGCAACTGGAGAATGCTAGGAGAAACTTAAGTCTTGTGTGCAGAGCCGTGCTGACACCACGAGCTACGGCACATTTGCAGCTCTGCTGCCCAGTAAATGCAGGAACATCTGAGTTAAGGCAGCCCAGTTCTGCAGGAATCTGGATTTGCACATTGTTACTGGAGACTTTTTGTCAGTTGATCAGATGAGCTTTAAAATGGTGCGGGTAATGTCTTATTTTTAGTTAATGTAAAAGAAAAAAAGGCTCTGTTATTGCTTGGGTTTCGTTGTTATGTGTGTCCTTTCATGTACAGCAGCAGGAGACCTAAGGGGCTTGTTAATATCATAGATTTCTTGCGACAGTAAGAAGAGTTTTCATTTTTCCCTTCAGGACAAACAAAAGTATTTCTGTGATAGGTGCTTTCCTACTCAAAAAAGTGCAGGTGATGCAGTCACAATTATTACATTTGTTTTTTATCTTGCCAGTGATAGTAGGTGTGAATGACACGGCTTTGTACCCTAACTGGCTGTCTCCCTGTGATTTCCTTTCCTCTTGTGTGCTCTGTGTGCCTGGACTGCCCCCAGAGCTGGCCAGAAAGCCAGCGGGGGCTGGCTGGGGGCTAGTGGGTGGAAATCAGGTGGCCTATTTAGTATGGACGTGAACTGTTTTAAATACCTGTTCTTGGGCATGCTGTTTTGATGCTGCAATACAGCGTTAACTTTGTAATCTATTTGTTATTTTTTAATTGATGCTTTTTTCATTTTAAGATCAGAAGATGCTATCCATGTACTCTGGGTCTTAGGTCTTTTTGATTAGAGAAAAGATGGTCAAATTTTACATAATTTTTTGGCAAATCATATGATGAGTCTAAAATAACCCTTCTGTTAGAGGTACGTGTGTTGAGCTATGGGCAGAATAAGCGTTGGAATGGCAGAAGCAGTTACTGCCTTAAGTTTCTTGCCCAGCTTTCCTTTATTGTATTAAGTACAGATATATATGCCTGCTGTTTGGACAACTTCCCAAGTGAAACTTGGACTGACCCAGCTATTGAGAAAGACTGTGAGAGAAAGAGAGACCAAAGGAGAAGTTTTTAAAATAAATAAATAAAACTATGGTAGCTTGACAGAGCACAGATCTGACAAAACTTAGTGCTGGTGCTTCACCTTCTGACTTAACATGGTGTATTTGTAGTAGGTTTTTGATCTACCCAAAACTCTTCATCTCTTAAGTCTCCACCTCTTAGATTTAGCTTGGCAAATACATGGTATTGTAATAAACTTCGAAATGGCTACAAGAACAAGATGTTTAGGTTATTAAATATATAAAATGCTGTGTAATTGAGAAAGTATAATATATCACTGAATGCTAAATTTTCAGAAGTTGTTAAATGTGGGTTAAAAAAAAATAAAGGGGTAAAAACTTAGGTGAGCTTAAAACTAGTCAGTTGTTTTGAATTCCTGTTTCTTTATAGGCCATTGGGATTATGTACTTTTCTTCTTGTCCCAGGGTTTGTCAGAGATGATGAAGTATTTTGGTGGGATTGTTCTGGTTGGGTGGGTATGTATATTGACAACAACTAATTCTAACATTAAAAAAAAATATATTTTGCAGGATAAAGAGGCATTGCAACAGCAACAGTACAATAACCTGATTCAGATCTCTGCCCTACAGTCTAAATTGGATGAAGCGCGGCACAGAGTACCAGCCGACAGCAGTTCTGCCCCAGTGCTGAAGGAGCAGTTACAGGCAGAGCAGGAAGCACTTCAGACAAAAGAGAGAGAGGTAAGAGTTTTGGTAGGGTCCTGTAGACTTCCGAGTCATTCATGTAGTTGCAGAAACATTTTGTGCAAACTTGTAACTGGGAATTTAAGCCATTCAAAAACCCAGTGACTAATGTTGTAGTAAATGTGCCTTCTTACCCAGTATTCTTTATGCTTTGGTGTTAACTAACCTTCCTTTTTCTTGCTTTATTCTGTTTTGTCATCCCCCTGTCCGTCCGTCTCCCCTCCCACTGGAAACTGTCTTGTGATGATTCACATCAACTTTGAGACTGATCAATATCTGTTGTAAACTGATTTTCCTTTCCTTCCCAAGTTGAAGTGGAGCAGAAGGTAGATATTTTTTTGTTTGACTTTGAGAGTGAGCGATAATTCCTTTAAGAACAGAAAGGACAATTACCCATAATGGTGTCATCTGACCTTCTCTATTTTGTGAGCCAGAGAATGTTAGCGATAAGTTCTTGTGCCAAGATAAGCTGAAACGCAGTGTAATTGGTCACATTATTTAGAACTCTTATTGGATTTACATGCACAAATACATACACACACACCTCTGCTGTATGTTTATGTAATACTTGTATATTACAGATACTATAATAATAACATAACATACAGTCCAGCTTAGGATGTGCAAAGAAAAATGTGGGTGATCCTCCAGTTAATTGTACACCATTGTTTCAAGAGCAGTAAGATTAAAAAAACCCTAATTTCTTACAGATGGAAGTTCCATGTCTCTCATGAAGTCTGACTTCAGAAGCCTGTTGTCATTTAACCCAGCAGGCAGTTAAACACCACACAGCTGTTCGCTCACTCCCCACCCACCCACTCCCAGTGGGATGAGGGAGAGAATCGGGGAAAAAAAACAGTAAAATTCATGGGTTGAGATAAAGACAGTTTAATAGGACAGAGAAGGAAGGGAAAATAATACTGGTGATAAAAGACTATACAAAATAAGTGATGCACAATGCAATTGCTCACCACCCACCGACCAATGCCCAGCCAGTTCCCAAGCAGTGGTCACCCCTCCCCTGGCCAACTCCTCCCAGTTTATATACTGAGCATGATGTCACATGGTATGGAATATCCCTTTGGCCAGTCTGGGTCAGCTGTCCTGGCTGTGCCCCCTCCCAGCTTCTCGCTGGCAGGGCATGAGAGGCTGAAAACTCCTTGACTAGTGTAAGCACTACTTAGCAACAACTAAAACATCAGTGTGTTACCAACATTGTTCTCATACTAAATCCAATACACAGCACTGTACCAGCTACTAGGAAGAAAATTAACTCTATCCCTGCTGAAACCAGGACAAGCCACTAAGCCTTTCTCATTCTCAAAGCCCCTATACCTTACTACCCATTAAGGCAAGAGAAGATAAAACCTGTGGGTGGCAAGATCACAGTGTTTCCAAATAGCTCTTTGCTCTCAAGCTTTCAAACAGCTACAAACAGAGAAATGTATAGTAATTGACCCTTTTACAGGTTGAAGGAGCCAATACTCAGAACTTGTTTGATTGCTGTGTTACTGGGATTAGCACCACAGTGCTAATTTCTATCTTCTAGGAGGAGGAAAATGGTGATTATGTTAACTGCTTGTGATTACATTAGGCATCAAATGCTAACGTGTCTCCTATTATGTCAAATTACATCAGTGGTCAAAGCTTGATTATTCAGAACATAGATTAACATATCTTTAATGAGCAGTTAGTTGTTTGTTTTGTTTTGTTTTTTAAAGAAAATGGAAAACCACCTTTGTGGTACTTTGGTTTCACAGCTGAGGAGCTGGAACGCTAGCTTCTCACTCTTTTTATGTCTCAAGTATTTTATTAATGCAAACTGATTAGAGAGAGAGTTTAAATCAGAATTTGCTGAAGTTACTTGCTCTCAGTAAATAAGACGAATGAAGTTTTAGCTTTTCAATAAGAGGACTTAATTGAAACAACTATGCATTTTCTTCTTTTTTTAGATTGCAAGCTTGTTAGACCAACTAGAACAATATAAAGATAATTTGATCAGTAAAAATGAGGAGATATTGCAGCTGAAATTGCAGTTAGAGATGCAAAAAAACCTTAGCACTTCCAGCATCAGCCAGCTTCAGTTAGAGAATGCACACTTGAAGGTAGGTTTCCTTAGCTTTAGTGTGCACCAGCTAAAACTTCAGAGACCTCCTTTCTTGAGTGTTGTGGTCTTCATCTCGTGATGTTATAAACAGATACTTAAGTTTGTTTCTCTTGTCGAGGGAATATTGCATTACTGTTACAAGGCTAATGCTGGTTATCGTAGAACAAAAAACCCCCGATACTCTAGATTCATGCTTATGGCATTATCTTCTACAGTCATTTGATTTAAATAAAAAGCTTAGCTTTTTTCTAGCCCTGACAGATTATGAACTACAGTGTTGTCATTTAGTAAACACTACACAGTTTTGTGTGCATTCCTGACCTCTACAGCCATAGCAAATGCTACAAGTTAGAAAACTGGTTGGTTGTCAGTCTGGCAACTAGAGTGTTCATCTCTTACCTTGAAAGTTGAGAAATGTTCTAGCAATCTAATCCAGTAGTACAAATCTAAACAAGGTAGCTGTAGTTGTGTTATTGAGTTCTTAACGTTATAGTAAGGAGAAGAATGTTTAAATAAAGCCCTTAGTTCTGTTCTGCCATTAGGTTGGGAGAGAAAGTAAGTCCTTTCTAATGAGATTGCTGGTTTTTCTGATCAGGAGGATCTAACAAAACTTCATGTGAAGCAAAATCAGGACCTGGGTATTAGTGATTCCTCAGCTTTGTCATTCCCACAAGCACTACTTAAAGAAAAGAATCAAGAAATTGATCACTTGAATGAGCAGATTAAGCGGCTCCAGCACAAGCTAGAGGATGCTCTGGAGAATAAAGTAAGAGTATTTACTATATGTTCATTGCTTGATTTTGAGGGAAGCAAGGTATACAGAATCTTATTGTAAATCTATTTGATAATTCTTTTAGGAAAGTAGAGAGTTTTCTGAGTAGCTACCAGCTGAAGTGTGCAATTCTTCTTGCTGTTAAATGTGTGATTTAATGTAATTTAAACTCTACGTGCAATAGTAATTCTGCCTACATACAGAAATATTCAGACCTTACCCTTTTGCTCAGGTTGTGGAAGACCAAAAATCTGAAATTGAAGAACTCAAATCCCTTGTCGAGCACCTTCGTGGTGACCAGGAAAGGCTGCATAAGGACAAAGATGAAGAGGTAGAGCAACTCCATGGAGTAATTGAGAAGCTTCAAAAAGAGCTGGCACAATTTGGACCAGTATGTCATGAAGTTAGTGACAACCAAGACGATCTCTATCAGCATGCATTGGGAAAGCCAGTGGAAAACCTTCAGAATGAGTTGAAGAAGGGACTGGTAGATTGTCAGGGTGGTACTGCTCCAAACAGAAGAAACTCATTGGTACTCTCCAAAGCGAGAGAACTTCAGGAGGAACTAGAGTTTGTCTCAACTGCTAGAGAAGCTCTGCAGCAGCAACTGGAAGAGAAAGAACTGCAGTTCAAAATGGAAGTGGAAATTTTGGAGAAAAAATGCCAAGAATTACAAGAGTCATCAGAGCAGCACGTTGCAGAGCTGACCTCTCTGAGAATACAGTACAATGCACTTCAGGAAGAGTACAGCCTTTTCCAAACACGTTTTTCTCAGAGAGAGGTTGAAGTAAGGATGACAACTTCTCGTATTCAAGAACTTGAAGATACTGTGAGAGAAAGGGAAGCAAATATTCTAGAGAAAGATATGCAAATGAAGACAATGGCAGATCAAAGAGAAGCTGATACAAGAAAGTTGCAGTACTTAACAAAAAAGGCAGCAGAGCTTCAAACCGAGTTGGAAAAGAGAGATGCAAGTCAGGCTCAAGATGTTTATAGTCTTCAGTTAGAAGTTTCTAGACTTGATTTCCAAGTGCAAGCACTGAATCAGAAAGAAGTAGCTTATCAGAGAGAAATCAATGAACTGCAAGGTGGCACTGCAAAACTGAAAGATCAAATTGAGGCATATGTGAAAGAGCTTGAAGCCTTACGATTGGAAAGAGGTGAACTTATTTCACAGTTGGAGTCATACAAGCCAAAGGAGCAACGTGATCATGAAGAGACTAACTTTCTCAAGCCATTCTGCCGGAGAGAAAGAAAAGGCGAAGTCCTTAAGAAAGTAATGGAGGAATTGGAAGAACTGGAAGTAAATGTTGATCAGTCATTTGCAGTACTGGCTTCCCCTACTGATAAACTGGTATGTGATTTGTTTTTTAATAGTATTTGTTTTTTAAAATAATTCAATTTTATGTGTCATATAAAGCCCTATAGCTTATCCTTTTCAGTGCTGTAAGAAAGGGTGAAGATGAATACTGTGGCATAAAAATGGCTGTGGTGAGTCAGTTGAAGGGTCTGTCTATCTTTGTGTAGTTTCTTCAGCAGTGGCTAGAGGTAGATGCCTGGAAGGCCTAAGAACAGTGCAAGGATGCATGGAAACTTAATCCAGTCAGTTTTTCTGAGCTGGATATTGTTTCGGGCATGGATCCTAAGGTATGTATTGGGTGTAGGTGGCAAGGTGTTGGCAGTGGGGGAGCTGCAAGGGTCCTCTATGAGAAAAGGCCAGGGCTGCTCCATGCTGCGTACAGCTGGTTCCAACGCAGGACACAGCTGAGCCTGTCAGCCATGTGCGTGGCACTGCTGCAAAAACGTATTTAAAAAAGGGCAAAACACTGCACAGCCAGTGAGGAGTGAGGGGAAAAAAAGCGTGAGAAACAGCCCATGGAAGAGGCCATGCTGGAGCAGATATCCACACTGCAGGGGAGGAGGTAGAGGAGTCTGAAATGAAGGAGTGAAATTGAGCCTGGGGAGAAAAGACGGGGGTGTGTGTGTGTGTGCGCTGTTTCAGTGTGTCTTTGTTTCCTGCCATCCAACTCTATTTTTAATGGCAATAAATTAAATAAGTTTTCCCCAAGTCAAGTCTGTTTTGCCGGTGAGAGTAGTTAGTAGGTGATATCCCTGTCTTTATCTCCACCCACAATCACTTTCCATCTTATTTTTCCCCCTGATCTGTTGAGGGGGGAGAGTGAGAGAGCAGCTGGGTGGGCATCTGACAGCCAGCCAAGGTCAACCCACCACAAGCTGCTAGGACTATGTTTGCCATACTTTATGACTGTCTGAGAGAACTACTTGAAAATACTTTATGTATCTTTTTTTTTTAGAAATCTTTATTTACTGTGAATCTTTCTTGTATTTACTCTTAATCTTTTCTAGAACCATTTGCTTCAGATAACCTAATGTGAACTTTTATTAAATTACTCAATTTTGGAAAGCAGTAGGACCCAGATGACCTGTTTTTCAGAGAGCTGTAGTTGTCTGTCATATACCAACTTACTGCCTTTTAAAGCTCGCTTACAGAGGTGATAAGTGTTACTAAGAAGGCTTATATGAAAAGAGTTTCTGAGTGCATAGGAAAGGAAAAAAGTTAGGTGTTGGGATTATGTGGATTTTGGGGGTCCTGACTGGCAGTATGATATGGGCATAAAAATTCAGGGTGGCTGACTTACACGGTATTTACTTGCCCCTTTGTAGTGGGAAGGGAAGATGGCCTTTGGAAAGGCTGGAAATTATGGTTTGTTTGTAGAATTATTGGATTTCAACGTTAGGCAAAATAACTGAGCTTTAATATTGGTATCACTAATGGTAAAAACCTACTTGCAGAGTTACTGTGATGTTACAGAATGTTCAATATTACTTTGCCATTTTGCTTCATAGCCCAGCAATCGCAACAGGATGCAGTTCTTCATTTTAAAACGTACTCAGTAATAACAGTGGGTTTTCATTAGGCTTTTGTCTGTTATCTTTAAGCTACACTGATGTATTTAGGATGTATCATATTTAAATTATACTTGAATGCCATCTCTCCTTATTTAAAGAAAAGAAAGGATAATTACTGTGTAAAATGACATGTTTATTTTTTAAGCAGAAATGAAGAGTGTAGCTATGCAAAACGTGATATTTACTGGTGTTTGTATCTATTTGCTTATAAGTTCTAATCTGGATCGGTGCCATTTGCCTAGGTGAAACTGTACATTCAGGGTCTGTCTCAGAAACCCCTCAGAAAAAGGGATCAGGTGGGAAGGAATAACGTTGAATGACCTATGCAGAATGATGTACTACTTCAGACTACTGAATGTATGTATACAGAGCAGCATCAGAGCTTAGGCACCTGACTTCCAGTTTAGTGGTCTACTGGCCCATGTTGCTTATACGGATAGTGATTGTTAGATCCCTGTTTAAAGAACATAAACAGCTGCCATAACCAAATACTGTGTACCAGATTTACTGGTTGTGTTTTTTTCCTGTCTCTATAGGTCTCTTTCGAATTGTAATAGCCACTTAGTAATAACAGTAACTCATGAAGGTCAGTTATCAGCTTTCTGGTGGAAATCACATGCAGCAACATTGTATTTCTCTTGTCCAGAAAAAGAGTACATACAGCTGCTTGATCTCAGCTTAGTAATGATTATTTGTTACAAGCTTACATTACCAGCATATGCCACCCGAGTTCCAGCCAACTGCATTACTTATACTGTTTGTCATTTAAAATACATATACAGTGAGGTGCATGCACAACTTCAGCATAGTTACTGTAGATACAATTTGAGAATATATGGAAAATATACAATCTATATGAACATGGAAAAGGCTCACATAAAAAATATTTTTCCTTTTAACACAATGCAGGGAGAGTTAAAGGCTACAAATACTTCACAGAATGAAAATAATTTAATTGTAAAGATGGCACCTCATAAAGAAGAACTTAATTCTGAATTAGGTTCAGCAAAAAAGGAGTTAGGATTCAGTGAAGAGAGAACTAGTAAAATTTTGAAGGATATAAAGGTATGCTGGAATTCTGGGGGCAGTTAAATGGTTTAAAAATCAATTTTCAAGTAGAAACTTAGATTCTGAAATATTTAAGTTCGTGTATATATGTCAGTATATGTATTTCCATGTTTAAGTGCTAAAAGTTTTAAAGTAGGCTGAGGAGAGATGATCATCGAAGTTGGAGAATATATTGAGTCAAAGTAAGTAAACTACTGTGTCTTCAAGCATTCATTATGATAGACCTTTTCCTATAGATCTAGCTCATCCCAGTACAAAGAAAAGTACAGTATTTGGTTTAGAATATCAACTATCTGAGCAAGATAGTGACCATAAGCCTGAGAGCTGGAGAGGGGAAAAATAACAGTATTTGGGTACTTCTGTTGTTCTAGTATGGATTAGCTAAATGCTATTATACAGAACATCTTCAGAGGAAAAGAAATGACTGCTGCTTGGAGTACCAAGACAGAAAACCCACATGAGATTAAGCAGCTCTTTACTTAACCCTGAATAGTGAATGAGAGTTGATTCAAATTGTTAACATTGAAGAGCCTTTGTGTAATAGTCAACATAACAAACGAATGCAGCATTCTTAGAGGAGCAAGGAAACTTCTTGGTACAGTTATTCTTGGGTTCAAAAGTGGGAACAATGTGAAAATTGGGAAATTTATTAAAATGAAAGCTGGAGGAGCAGCTAAAAGGGTAAAGTACTTGCAGCTAGCACTAGGCTTAAAACAGGCTAGGACTCATCAGCTAAGATGGATGATTAACACAGAAGGATTAAGGTGACAGTCTAAAATGAGAGAGAGAACAACTATTCACTGTATCTTACAATGTAGGAAGTATGGAGAATGAAACTTGCATGGTGGCAGGTTTAAAATAAACTAAAAGAAATATCTTCTCAAACAGTGCATCATTTAGACTCTTAGACACAGAATCTTATAGGTCAAAAGAGTAATTTTATCTTAAAATGACTTAGATTAAGCGATTGAAGGAAAAATTAACCAAGAACTGTCAAACAGAAAGATGTTGACTGCCTGTGTGGTCTGAGATGTGTAGACCTTGGATTACTGGGAGCTGCCCAGCTTGGAGCTGAGCAGGCATGCTTGGGGAGGTACCACTTTGCAAGGACAGGGCAAAGCTCTGCTGTTCGGCAGTGTTCCTTTGCAGAAAGATTGTTCTAGTCCTGTTAAAACTTCCTTGGGATGATGGTGGTAAAACAGAGAGGGAACCTCAGAACCAGGGATCCAAAAATTCCTGATTTGAAGGGGGGGAGTTGGGGGGGAAGGCTGCAAGGAGGGAAAACAGACACCTCTTCAAGCAGTGGGTGGGCCAACTTCAGAGGGGGCTTTAGGGGATTCAGTGCCTGGGGCACTGAATATGAAAAAAGTGGGGGAAGCAGGGCAGCCTGACGTTCTGCATAAGTTGTGGAGGCATTAGAAGAGAAGCTGCAGCTTGGCATGCTCAATATATGCTCTGGAATCTCCCTTCTGCTGCAGAAGAGGCACAGCCTTTGCCATGAGCACACTTGTGCCTACTTTCCCCTTAGGAGTTTCTATATTAATGACATCAGTAAGCCCTGGAATTACAGCAAGTTGGGCCCTAGCCTTAGGGTTCCTTAATCACTTGGTGATGGCAAGTCCTACCACACTGGATCCCTGAGGTTATAAGGATGAGGGTAAAGTATTTTCATGATGAGTTCAGAGATGTTCCATTTGGATGTCAGCCTCCAGGTGGAGTGAGTAACAGGTTTAGAGGCTGAAAGACAGGGAGAAGGTTTGAATTCTCGACTTCTGGAGCAACAGTTGGACTTGTTGGAGCAGTGGCTCTGCAACAGCAGCCTTCCCATGGTGTGTATGACACACCTGCTTGTTGAAAAGAGCATTAAGGTCATAGAAAAAGAACAGACACCTCAAGAGGCCTTGGGAAGGGAAGAAAGCTCTTTCTATAGAAATGCTGACTAAATGAGAACCCTTGTAGCAAGGTAGGCAGGGATGTATCTGCATACTCCATGGCACAGTATTGACATTATTCAGATGTCTCTGCAGTTTGAAGGTGGAAGTCTAGCCTTGGCCTGGTCAGTGACTGTGCCTTCACACTATGGGAAAGATGCTGGAAAGGTTCTGCGGCCATTCGGATACCCAAGCCCTCAGGCTGGAAAATAGCTAGTTATGTTCAAGGATCACAAGAACTGAGGAAGATGGACACCTGTTGTGTCCATGCAAGCTGTGTTTCCCTGTTGGCCTCTCTCAGAGATGGTGGTTGCGTAGAATGACTTTGGTCTGACCTAGTGTATCTGTTTTTATAGAGTCAGAGTCTGAGAAATGGTCTGCAGTGTTGCTGATCAGCAGAGACCTAAGTCTGTTGTTTGGTGCTTGGAAAAATAAAAAAAAAGAGTAGAGTACCCCTGTGGGAACAGGACACTAAAAGGTACAAGTACGGCCTTACCAAAATTTAGGATAAAACATGTTGGTATGTATGGCTGCTGTGTCTGTCATATGAAGGGACACGTGAATCCATGTTGCTTTTCCTTCCAGTGACTAGAAGTAGATGGTTGATAGTTTCTCCTGCATTGAAATGGCAGGCATAAGAACCATCTGTAGACTTCTTAACCATTTTTTTTCCTGGTGCCCTGGGTCAGGAATTAAGCCTTAAGATAGTTCAGGAGATTTGTCCAGTTAGGAAAGCAACAGGTTTTGATTTGTATTTATTTGAAAGTAAGAAGATTATCTACACAGCTACAAGGAATACCCTTTTTTCCTGATTGATACAAAAGTCAGCTCTGAAGAAATACATTTGATTATTGTACAGATTTTATTTTTCTTCTCCTATTAATGATATGCTTGTTAAAAAAGCCTGGTTAGCTGGCATATAAAATATACTAAACTGTCGGATCATTTTTACATAAAACCTGGGAATAGTAACAGATATGGCTATTAAATTTGAGAAGATCTCTTTAAATGCATGTTTTTCAGTTTGTAAAATTGTATTTAAATTCCATTAAATAATGTGTTATTTCATTGTAGGAAAAAGATGAAGTTATGTTTGACTTGACGACTCGCAATATAAATCCAAAAACTCAGATTAAGCAATCACAAGAAAATATCTTGACTCAGGAATTGGACGTGATCAACAGCTCTGAAGAGGAGCAAGATTTGAAAAAGCATGGCCAGCAAACGTTGGAAATTCATCAAACTCCTGATTCTCCAAAACACAATTTGAACATAGGCAAAGACACTTCAAAAGACTTCCAGAATTTCATTGCAGGTATGGCTTCATGGGGCTCACCTGAGATTGTGAGAAAGCAAGATATAAGCATGGAACTTCAGCCAGTGCTTCATCTGACACCCTTTTCGGAAGTTGAAAGCACAGATTTTGAAATTATATACACCAGGTCATCCATGCAAGAAGATAATTCTGTATTGCTGGGATATTCTAACCTGTATGAAAATGGCAGTGAGGAAGCAGCAGTGGGAGCAGAGAGAAAATCTCCAGCTTTCTCTGAAAGCACCTACTCTGTTGATGACGACCAAGATATGGAGAAGATTTTGGTAAGTGATATTTCAAGTTTGATTTCATTCTAATTCATAGAATCATAGAATCGTTAAGGTTGGAAGAGACCTCCAAGATCATCGAGTCCAACCGTCAACCCAACAACACGATGCCCACTAAACCATGTCCCTAAGCGCCTCATCTACCCGTTTTTTAAATACTTCCAGGGATGGTGACTCAACCACTTCCCTGGGCAGCCTGTTCCAATGTTTAACTACTCTTTCAGTAAAGAAATTTTTCCTTACATCCAATCTAAACCTCCCCTGGCGCAACTTGAGGCCATTTCCTCTCGTCCTTTCGCCAGTTACTTGGGAGAAGAGACCAACACCCACCTCGCTACAACCTCCTTTCAGGTAGTTGTAGAGAGCCATAAGGTCTCCCCTCAGCCTCCTTTTCTCCAGGCTAAACAACCCCAGCCCCCTCAGCCGCTCCTCATAAGGCTTGTTCTCCAGACCCCTCACCAGCCTCGTTGCCCTTCTCTGGACACGTTCCAACATCTCAACATCCTTCTTGTAGTGAGGGGCCCAAAACTGAACACAGTATTCGAGGTGCGGCCGCACCAGTGCTGAGTACAGGGGCACTATCACTTCCCTGCTCCTGCTGGCCACACTATTTCTGATACAGGCCAGGATGCCGTTGGCCTTCTTAGCCGCCTGGGAAATACTACAACACTGGATGTTCTCTCTAGATTTGATCAGAGTACTGGCATGTGCTGTGAGGAATGTTGACCACTATTGATACCTGAAGGCCTGTGAAATCCATAATGTAATTCTAATGAATGGCTTTAATAGGAGTTCTGGTTTCTTTTTTGTACATCCACACAGTCAGCTGTAAGCATGAACCATGTACATAAGTCTAACTGTTCAGGTGAAATAAAAAGCCTCGTTGCTTGGTTCTCTTTGTTCACTGAGTCTGAATTTGAAGTTTTTCACTAAGAAATCTAGATTAAACTGAATCAGAAAGCTTTCTTTGTATTCCAGTTGGAAATCTTAAGGATATTTCATTACTTAAGGAAACATTCATATAACTTTAGGAAACTGGTATCTTGTAATCTGAAAGAAACTGCAATGACAATCTGTGTGTTTTCTATTTTTAGCTAAACTTACAGAAAAGGAATTTGTGTGGAAGAACGGGAAAGGGCAACTACAGTTGGAAAAAGACAACTCTGATAATAGAAAAGGAGTTTCTTCAGTGTTGAATGTTAGTTTATCTTGACTTTGGGGAAAATGACTAAAATAACTGGGGAAGTAATGAACTCTGACTAAACTTGTGGATGGTGGTAGAAGTACATCCACCATTTTTTTATGCTGTAAAGACAGTTCATGATCTAGTGAGCAGGACTGAAATTACAGTCAAAATTGGGGTCTTTTAATCTTTCTTGAGAGTAGATAAGGGATGTTTTAAAAGCGAGATAAAGCCTACTCAGTCATTTCAAGCCAGTTAGGTACTGGAATATCTCAGCCTTTCAGTTTGGTCAGAATACTTTGCTTGCTTTTCTGGACTGTTCTATGAATGGGTAAATATTTTGACTTTAACACAGCAGTGACCATTTTTTTTCTTTTCTCTTTTCTTTGCAGTGATTCTATTCTGTATGGCAGCCCTAATATTTCCGATAGGATTTTACATCAATGAAGTTGGAGGTCAACCATATAAATTACCCAATAACACAGTGGTTGGGTCTTCGTATGTACTGTTTGTCTTATCCATTTTCTTTACGATAGTGGGACTTCTATTTGCTGGCAAAGTTTGTTTACCTGGCTGATGAATGTCTGAACTGCAGGACTTTATTTTGGACAAGAGCAAGACATCAGAATTGCATTCTCAGGAGGATGCCTAGATCAGACTATCAAACACTTACTGAAAAGAAGAATGCTTTGACTTGTTCTCACTATGCACTTTGGATGAAAAAAAGGAGAGCCTTTCCCGTAACCAAATACAGACAACGTTGACTAATCTCCTGAGCATATTTAATGCAGTCAGGTCTGCACTGTGATAGGAACTAGTGAAGAATGCTTTACACTGAGAAGCATAATGCCCCATGTTACTGTACTGTTCCTGTTTTTAATGTCTAACGATTTGGAAGTCAAAGTATTTATGAACTTTGTGGTAGACCAGAGGGTTGCAGGGGAATTCAAGTGAGGCTGGCCTCGCTGTTTAGGAGATTAGTATTTTACATCTTCCTTCTGATGAGCAAAGCCTTTGGCACCAATGTGGATCAATCTTGCATTACTGCACCAAGAAGCCAATAGATCAAAACATGTTCTCTAAATGTGTGTAACAGCAAGAAGACATACATCCCCTCCTCTCCCATAAGCTCTAGAAGAACACTAAGGAACATTTTAGAGGGGGATTTCTTCCTTATATTTATATAAATATATATATAAATATATATATTTTGCTGATGCAGTATACAGTGTGTGTGTATGTGTGAGTGTGTATATACACATATATGTGTATATACATGTATATACACACAAATGG